TTCCGCCACCTTGCATGTGGATTCATTATTTAAAATTTTAAATATTGTTTTTAAATTAAAATTATTTCGCAACATGTAAAATCAATAATTTTAAATTAATTCCTTGCTTAAACAATAGGAGATTATATTTTTAATTACATGAATATAAATCGGTTAATTAATGAATTGCTTTTGAATTTAATTAAAGTGATTTTTTTTTTTTTTAAATGAGTTGAGTCAATATATTAGAACTATTAGTATTTTATAAAATTAATTTTTAATAAAATATATTTATAATTTTAAAATTAACTTATAGAACCCATAAATTGATTTATTAATTGTTCCCAAAAAAAAAAAAATATTGAAAATTTATGAGAAAAGTGAATTATAAAAAGTATTTAATAAGTAAGGCATTTTGTGGTAAATTTATTCAGAATTCTAAGGAATCCTTAAATTATATTGAGTAAAATTTTAATTCTTTAATTTTTAAATAGTCAATTACTTATAAGAGACTGTGTAGGTTGTAATTTTGGGGTGCATATAGCCAAACTCGTCTAAACTTATTTATTTATTTATTTATTTTTATTAATGAATCATCTTGTTAAGCTTAAAAAAAAAAAACCTATTTTAGCATATGATGTGAAATAAATAATTTGAAAATGAATCCTTTTGTATGGAAGATGTAGGCATGTAGCAACCGATTCCATGTGGGAAACTTTATATTAAAAATATAATGAGAATATGACACTATTATATTTTATAGAGTCCTCTAGACATAAACTATTTATCAATCAATTAAATTATTCATCTTCACATAAAAAAAAAAAAAAAAAAAAAAATATTTGATTTTGACATATAACATGTGAATCATACCCTATTTGCATTTATCATCTCCTGTCAAACTAAGAAATTTAATATATTATCTCATAATATATTATATTATACAATCATATCCTATTTCCGTTTATAAATGTTTTAAAATTGTCAAAAAATGAAAAACATATGTTGAATTTTCTAGAATTTAGGAGAATGTATTAAATTATTTTGTAAACTAAAGTCGTAATATGAGTAAATTATTTTTAGAAATTTAAAAATAATTTACTAATTTTTTTTTTTTTTTGACGTATATATTTAGTAAAGCACTAAAACATGCGACAAGCATTTTTAATGATATATTTTTAATAAAAAATTTAAAAAGCATATCATCATGCATGACACTAGATTAATTATTTAATCAACTACGTAATTGAATAAACTAAAGATAATTAAATTATTTATTTTCATGATGTTGAAGAATCGCCGAAAAATGAAAGCAATTGATTTTGACAAACAGCACAAGAAAAACACTAAGTTTAAATTATTAATTCCACATGAATCCAATTCTTTATGTCATACAGCGACATATGTTTATTTATAATTAATTAATTAATTTTTTTTCCTTCAAATTTTATAATGATTTATTTTTTGTTTAGAATAATTCTTTGTTTTTGAAAAAAAAAAAAAGCCGTATTTTTTTTTAAATAACTATAAAATTGTTAATCTTGCATAATATATATATATATATATATATATATTGGAATAAATGTATATAATAATCAAATTTAACTGCCAATAATAGGGTAACATTATCTACATTATAATTTAATTGACAATAATAAGGTAGATAATCACTTGATTCCAATGAACTATGTAAATTGCAAGATAAGGTAAATCATAAATATGACATATGACGGTGAAAATTGGACAGATAACCTTTTTGGTACTCTAAAGTTTTGGACCACCGATAAAAAATTTATAATTTAAAATCGGTACGGGATTGTGTTTTCTTGAGATAACGGTATCCTGGTAATATAATAAAATCTTCAATTAAGAGAATTAATGGAATTAAAATTTGTGGGCATTTGGCCATTTTTCAATTGATTGAACAAATAAATTTGTGGCCACATGTTTAGATCTAGAACATTCATTTAGAACAGGTAAAATAAAACCTGCCAGTCAAATGTCACATGCCTGACCCAAATGGGAAAATGGGTCGGTTTGTTGTTTTTCTTTTTAATTAATATTTTATTATTTGTCAAATGCTAACCTAACCTTTCTTTTAACATTTTGTTGTTTTCCAACATAATTATTGGCACCCTATTAATTACATCTAATAAATAATTTTGTTTAATTTAATTACTTAAAAATAAAATGTTTATAAAAAGATTAAAAAAAAAACACATATTTCAATGCTTTCATATAACTAATTTTTGTTGTTCAATGTTCTTAATACATGGTTTAAGATAATATATTAAGACACCACATATAAAAAAAAAAGGAGGGGTTTAGTAGGTTTTTAAAGTTGAGGGGGTAAATTGAATTTTATATATAATTTTTTTTCTAGGGTAACGTAATGTCTAATGTCCTGGAATCAAATAATGTGAGATACTTAACATGCAAAGAAGCAATTGGTTGTCTAGAATCAAACATGTTTAAATCTAATGACAAATCAATGATGTAACTTTGCATTGACTTATTCTACTTGAGATAATATTTTATAATTAGAATCATGGATTGAAACATAATACACCCAAAACATGTACATTCGTATATTTTTGTATGCTACTATTTAATTTAATATATTATAGATAGTAAAACATTGTCTTATATGATTGTAACACTGTTACTTTAGCCAAATTTTGGTACCAATAACTATTAACCATGTAGGTTAGTATTTTGCCGTGTTAGAAGTCGAATGGTTAAACTAAATAGTATACAAAAAACTAATAGTTTAATCGCAAGCATAGAGCTAATAGTTTAAGGAAATAAGGTTGTATTTTTGTTAGCAATTATAATTTTTGGTTTCATGTTAAAGTTTCATCTTAAGAAATAATATTAAAACCTGCCAGTTTGCGCGCACCTGAAATAATCTTTAGGGTTAATGAACACCCTACAAACCCAAAAGACCAGATAAGCCACAATTTATTGGGATAGATGACCCCAAAGTTGAATCAGACACTTAAAGAGGGAGTAAACCTCCTTAACGATAAGTCAACCCTTGAGATTGAAAAAAAATTGATTTTTGATTGCAATTCAAAAAAAGAATAGGTTAATCACTTTTGGAAAGATAGATATCACATGATTTTCAAAACAAAAGAAAAGATCACTGCAAGTGCTTTCATGAACATAGAAGCAACTTTCTCAATTTCAATCAAACAATGCAATAAGAACATAGGAAATATTTAAGTGTTTAACTATTTGAAAAACACTTCTGTCCAACAAAAAAACACTTTCAAAACATTATTATTACACACACTTTCAATTGGTCCTCAACTTTCAACCCAATAAAGGGGGCTAAGAAAGAAGTTAGCTTACCTACTTTTCTTAGTTAAATTTTTTTTTTTTTTTTTTGACTCATGAATCAAATGGAATCACTTTTTTTGACATTTTGTGGGTGATGTGAACATTGTTTTTCCCATGAATTTGAATTGTTTTTTAATAAAACCATTGAATTTTTTTTTTTTTTTTTCATTCTCAAAAGAATCAATGTTGTATATTTTAAGTAGAGTAAAGAGGGTAGGAGGTTTAATTTTCAAGAGATAAAAAAAGTGAGGGAAGTCTAGTTTGGAGGCTTTATTTAATTAATTTAACATTCATACAAGTCTCTCTTGTTGCCATATTTATATTTATGAAATTTTAATACAAATCTTACTATATGCATAAATAATTCACTATATAATTATAAAGTTTTTAATAATGATTATATATATATCGAAAGCATTTTTAAACTTCGAAAATACATAATCTTTTTCTTTTTAGTTGATTCTTTCCAATTTTCACGTAGAACTCAAAACAAATTCATAAACGAAGGGTTTAAACTTTAAAACACTCTTTTTAAGTATGAAGTGTTTGCATAATTTTTGTTTAGGTTTTACAATTACATGAGAGATAATTTATACATACATAAGTCCCCATGATTTACTTGGGGATCTATGACAATGAGTTGCTGTAGGATAACTCCCCCCTAAGGATTAGTTGAAGTGTATGTAAGTTTGTCAGGACACTTCAGTTATTAAAAAAAAATTATACATATAGAGTGAATCTCTATATATACCCCAACCTTATTCTTAAATGTACCCATTTCACCATTTGTAAACTCTTATCTGAAAAAGAACTTAAGTGGTGTACATCCAAAGAGGTGGGGGTGTATATAGCATTCTTGTAATCCACTAGCCCATTGGTGAAATAGATATCACTATAGAAAGCCCAAGTATATAGAGGCTAAAGAATTAGCTTCTCCCATCCAATTCTTAATTCTTAAAACTGAAGCCTAAACGTAAAAATAAAAAATACCTCTTAAAAAAATTATCAATGGAGCATTTCACAACGCCAGATTGGCTAGATTTTACAGTAAATTATCAATGGAGCATTTCAAAAATCAAAGAACAAAGAGTAATATAGAATTACGTATGGGTGTTTATGTATTACAGTTAATTGCTGGCTCTCGTTCTATTTTCAAATAATGACACCAATCAATTATATATACAAGGAGATTATAAAATTGTCCAAAAATTGCTAGTAACGAAACTAATTATAATCTACTTTCAAATTTGATCATATTATATGTTACTAATTAGTAACGATATCATAACGATATTTTGGTACATAATATTTGACGTTGATCGATAATATGTTAAATTTTAATATTGATACTATTTACATCTAATTAAATGATATTGAAATATTAAACTCACACATAGTAAATAAACAATGTGGGTTTGCACAAATTTGAGGATTTAGATGTTATGTAATTAGTAGTAATCTTACCGCCATTTTATATAATTTGTCTCTCCTGCAAACTTACATTATTAATTAAAAAGATTTACTGATACTATTTAACACTAAAGATAAAAAGAAAAAAAAAAACAATTTATTGACATCAACTAGCACTAAAGACAAAAATTCAGTCCAGTTTTTTTTTTTTTTTTGTCTTAATAATTGTAACATTGTCTTTTAGTATTTATTGATATCAAGCTTGAATTTTACAGAAGTGCGAACTGCGAACATCTACATCTTGTTTGTTCAATTATTGTGCGTTTTAATTTGCTGAGCCATCTTTTGAAGTCACTCGGGAGTGCTCCTTGTTTGTTCGCCTCGTCGTTGGTTAATTGCACTATTGTGTAACTCATATAGAATGAGAAGCTTAAGCAAATACAACAAATGGCAATACCAAGCCCTGAAGAGGGTGCCAAAACAACAAAAGTGCCTTTAATGAAAGCAAGCATCATTGCTACCATTGAATAAATGGTAAGCCCAAATGCAAGCTCGTCGAGAGACCCTGCGTTCTGGCAAAACTTAATCGACATGACAAAGTGAATAAAGACAGCAGAAATAGAGAGGATCATGGCGATGGTATCCGTTATAATAAATGCTTGAAAAGCCGACTTTCTACTTAGGATTGCGGTACCTTCATTCTGACCTTTTTCGCCCTGGTAACCACCAGGCATGGTGAAAGCTGCCGTGAAGGTTACTGTTGCTATGAGCGCAGCCACTACCAATTGCGGACCTCTTGCTTTCTCCGGTTCAAATACACTTTCACCGAGGGGTTTTCTTCTTCTGCGTATAACACCTCGTGGACGTTGTCCATTGCAAACCTCTTGGGTCAATTCTTGAATTTCTTGCTGTTTTGCATAAATGTAAAGTAAATCAATGAAAAAAGTAAAGTAATTAAATCAAGGAAAATGACAATTTCAAGTCACAAAATTGCATTTGCATAAATGTATATTAACGAAAATCCTCAAATGCATACCGTCGCATTTTCTCATAATCCAGATTTCTTTTTACCAGTACCAGTAGACGTGATCTGGATTTTGAAAATATGTGGATGTTTGCATTAGAGAATGATTCTATGTACTTATACTAAGTGAAGATGCCGGCTATTACCTCAAGCTCTGGAAAGCCTTGTCTTAATATATGTGTGGCACTAATATCTTTCCTGTTGATAACCTGAAGGTTGCTTTTATGCTTCAAGTTGATACTGTTGGGCTCGAATGAATTATTTCGTTTTGAAGCTGCAAGAACATGGAGAGGAGTGTTCCCCTTGGCATCCTTCTGATGCATAAGACTCCTAACTAGTGGATTTTGTAGCAGGACATCCACATCTGTTTCTTGTAAACTCACCATAGCAAAGTGAAGGAAATTCCAACCTCTAGCATCCACCAGTTCATAACATTGTGGAGAATGAAAAAGAATTTTTTTTATTACCTTTAGACACCCTCGACTGCTCGCCACATGAAGAGGTGTCATTTTACGATCCTTGTCAGGTATGAATGCAGCAGATTCATCAATTTCTAATAAGACTTGTGCATTGAAAGGAAGATCGTAATGTGCAGCATAATGAAGTGGAGTCCACCCTTTTTGGTTCGTTTCTTTTGTCAAACACTTCTTCTTCTCGAGTATTTCTTTCATGGTTTCTGAGACAAAAAAGAGAACATCAAACTAATTAAATAACAAATAATGTTATACATCCAGTTATCATCTCCCAAGTGATGATATCCTTCGAGATCTCATTTCATCATCTATGTGACATAACTAATTAATTAATGTCATATTACATGGATATAAAAATTGGAATACAACCTTGGGATTCTTAAAAACTATATAAAACATGTACTATAAAAATTAAATAGGATAGTGAACAAATTTTCTGCAGGCGATTGCATATTACATACATCCACAAGGGACGAGAACATGTTAATTGTGTTGATCTCTTGTGGTAGAAGTAAGAGATCGGAGGATTAAATCTAAGCTTACTGATGCCATGATCAGAGGGTTACCTACTCAACAGATTGTTTCAAGACACAGCACAACAATTTCTCTGAAATTCATGTTCCTCTGTTTTCCTATAATTTGATAATAACAACAATTTGAACCAAAGTAAACGTACCAAAATCTCTGCTCTTGACTGCCGCATGCAAAGCCGTCTTTCCACGGGGTCCTCCGTGGGCCGCCGCTCTGCAGCTTCCTAATATTGCAACCACCCTCGCCGGAGATCCTCTAGCTGCAGCAAGGTAAAGTGGGGTTTCCCCATAACTATTAGCAGAGTAAGAAAACTCAGGATCACCTTCTCTCGTTAAAACCTTCACCACTTCCAAGCTTCCATACTGCACTGCCTCATGCAACGCTGCGTTTTCTTCCTTATTAGTAATCTTCAACATCTCCCACACAGGATTCAATCCGCCAATCTGTGAGGCTCCAGGTTGAGCCCTTGAATGCTGAAAAAGAACTTCCACCATAGCCGAGTTCCCGCATTTAGCTGCAACATGAAGGGGAGTATCGCCATTGGCGTTGACTTGCAACAAGAGTGATGGGCATATGGTGAGTATTTGATCAACGAATATGGTGGACGCCNAGTATTTATTGATATCAAGCTTGAATTTTACAGAAGTGCGAACTGCGAACATCTACATCTTGTTTGTTCAATTATTGTGCGTTTTAATTTGCTGAGCCATCTTTTGAAGTCACTCGGGAGTGCTCCTTGTTTGTTCGCCTCGTCGTTGGTTAATTGCACTATTGTGTAACTCATATAGAATGAGAAGCTTAAGCAAATACAACAAATGGCAATACCAAGCCCTGAAGAGGGTGCCAAAACAACAAAAGTGCCTGTAATGAAAGCAAGCATCATTGCTACCATTGAATAAATGGTAAGCCCAAATGCAAGCTCGTCGAGAGACCCTGCGTTCTGGCAAAACTTAATCGACATGACAAAGTGAATAATGACAGCAGAAATAGAGAGGATCATGGCGATGGTATCCGTTATAATAAATGCTTGAAAAGCCGACTTTCCACTTAGGATTGCAGTACCTTCATTCTGACCTTTTTCGCCATGGTAACCACCAGGCATGGTGAAAGCTGCCGTGAAGGTTACTGTTGCTATGAGCGCAGCCACTACCAATTGCGGACCTCTTGCTTTCTCCGGTTCAAATACACTTTCAACGAGGGGTTTTCTTCTTCCATTGCAAACCCCTTAGGTCAATGCTTGAATTTCTTGCTGTTTTGGATGAGTAAATCAATGAAAAAAGTAAAGTAATTAAATTAATTAAATCAAGGAAAATGACAAAGTCTCACATCGGTTAGGAGATGAGGGTATTGGTTGCTTATATAGCACAAGGACACCCTCACCATCCAGAAGCGTCTTTTCAGGACAAAACCGTACAAGTTTTAGGGTCTAAAGCAGACAATGTCTTTGAAAACCCACATACTATGTGTCTGGATCTGACATACATCAACAGTTGGCACTAGAAGGAGGACCTAAGCCATTCCCAAGCCCTTCGTCCCCTAAGGGGATATGTTAGTGCCAAATTTCCACATCAATTAGAAGACGAGAGTCTTGATCGCTTATATAGCACAAGGACACCCTCATCACCCAAAAATATTTTTTTCAAGATAAAACTGTGTCAGTTTCAGAATCCAAAGCGGACAACACATACAATTCTATATTATATGCGTCTGGATCAGGCATACATCAACATATAATTATATATTATAAGCTGTAAAATGGTTTTCACCTTAGTAATTTTTAAAATTCTATTTATGAACAAAACCTACCAAACTTTGAGAACATTCTTCAATAGGAGGCACTCTATCTGTGAGTCAAAGTCAATTAAAACATGATACAAATTGCCAAGTTTGATTTTTAGGCAAGAAAAAAAAAATCATCTGTCATGTCTACGGTTGGGCAAATGGGCAACTTGTCACATTGCTTTAGTGAATTCATGCTTTTCTCAGTGCCTACATAATATTTCATTCATCTTTGGTTTACAACCGTTAACTACTTGTCTCCCTCCAAACAATTAATACACCAAAGAAAAAAAAAAATTAATTTTCTAAGAATCATTGGTGTATATTATCTGGGACCAATAATGATATAACATTGAACGGCAGGAGAGAGTGTGCACCACAACTGCAACGAATACACGAAGGATCATCCAATCAGATTTTATGTAAAATCATCCAATCAGAATTTATGTAATGATATAATATGTCGTAGTTGTTCGTCTATTTGTCCTATATTATATTTTGCCAAATAATAAGATGTTATATGTGGAATTTATAATATTTGAATGCAAAATGTCGATAAGAGTCATGTAATAAATAATATAAAATATGGGTTACTATCACCGACCCCAAACCTATAGTTTAGGGGCAAATTTATGTTTAGGCCAAAGGTAGCCATGGCCACCCATGACCCTACAAATAATTTTTAAAATCTATATAATATCAATTTATAATTTTTGTAGCCACCCTCAGTTTTCAAACTTAACTTTAACCCCCCCATAAATGTAACTTCGCAACCCTCTCTCATTGAACATTACATTTTGAGACCCTTCTGGTTCCACCCTGAGGGAGCTACTCTTTTGGCTGTATATATATTTCTTGTCATGTTTTTTTTATTTTTTTATTTTTATAGAGGGTTTTAATAATTTTAAAGAGAGTTTTTGATAATTAAATGAATCTCTTGTAGGGTTTTGCAATGGTTTTAAGAAATACTCGATGTCAAATAAATTAAATCGTTCATATTTAGGGGTCCATCATAATAAGTTAATAACAAAATAAAATATACATTTTAAGGGTAGTCTCTTGCATAGTTTCATATTTTTAGTTTTGTATTCAATGTTACTAGTACAATAGATGATATTTATTATAAGTTTCACGTTATACATGACGGATATTTATCTACTTATTAAACTTTTAGAATTGAAATCTGATAAATTTGTTGGGCCACTAAGAAAGAGATCGAAGGCACCATGTGTTGTGTTTTATTTCATATTATTTTTCTTGATTTTTCTGTAGATTCTATTGATTATATTTCTTAACGTATGATAAAAATTATCTTGAAATTTTTAACATGCAAATATCTCGTGATGAATCTTTTATATTTTTTTATTTTATTAACCAAGTAATTAATTCCTTAATTCATACTTAAAATTATATATATATTTTTGGGGGTGTTGTTTATGTGAATCCGTATCCATATTGTTGGGTGTCTTGAAGGTGCAAGAACTTGATTCCATGATTTTGTTATCAAAATTATAATAATAATTGCACATGTGACATGTGCATGCTATTACAATAATTTCATAAAAGCAATAAAAACAAATCTCTTTTGATTAATTAAACAATTAAATAAGGTAATATAATAATACGTACAAACTAATCTCATTAATCCTAGTATTAATTAATAATTAAATGAAGAGACAAATCATAGTATGTTTCCCTTATAAAGTTCCCCAATTTAGGATGAAGATTCTCTTGTGATTTGATTATTATTTTTTTAATTACTTTAAATATAAGATTATGACCATGATTATTAATTATGTTAATATTATTATATACCTTTGTGTAGTCAATTCATTTTAATCGTATCCACAATTATTTTTTAATATATCTTTTTAGGAGGAAGTTTTCTCACTGGTCGAGCACTGTCAACTACCCAAAAAATTAGTTTGTTAGGTGATATTGTCTGTTTATTCTTATAAGACGGAGACCTAATCCATTTTCATCTAATATACCCTTATAACAATTTTTAATACTTTTTGAAAACATTAACTGTGTATTACGTTACACGATCAGTGGATTTCTAATAAGTAGCAAACACGTGTTTAATTAGCTAGAATTTTGATTAATTATGATTTTGATCTTGATGTAAACCAAACTTAATTTTTAATTTATTCTTTGAATATGATTATCACCGAAAATATGATAATAATTAATTTCAATATTATATGATACCTAAATAATAAACTTTGTTTTGCTTTATTATAAAGCAAGGAATTATTGTTATCATTATGGTTAAATTATATTAAGCAAGCTGCAAATATTCGTCCACCTTGCATGTGGATTCATTATTTAAAATTTTAAATATTGTTTTTAAATTAATATTATTTCGCAACATGTAAAATCAATAATTTTAAATTAATTCCTTGCTTAAACAATAGGAGACTATATTTTTAATTACATGAATATAAATCGGTTAATTAATGAATTACTTTTGAATTTAATTAAAGTGATATTTTTTTTTTAAAATGAGTTGAGTCAATATATTAGAACTATTAGTATTTTATAAAATTAATTTTTAATAAAATATATTGATCAATTTTAAAATTAACTTATAGAACCCATAAATTGATTTATTAAGATACACAATATATTATATATATATATATATAATATATATAATATATATATATTAATATATATATAATATATTGAAAATTTTGAGAAAAGTGAATTATAAAAAGTATTTAATAAGTAAGTCATTTGTGGTATTTATTCAGAATTCTAAGGAATCCTAAATTATATTGAGTAATTTGATTGTTAATTTTTAAAAGCCAATTACTTATAAGAGAGTGTGTAGGTTGTAATTTTGGGGTGCATATAGCCAAACTCATCTAAACTTATTATTTATTTTTATTAATGAATCTCTTGTAAGCTTAAAAAAAACCTATTAGCATATGATATGAAATAAATAATTTGAAAATGAACCTTTGTTATGGAAGATGTAGGCGGGCAGCAACCGATTCCATGTGGGAAACTTTATATAAAAATATAATGAGAATATGACACTATTTATTTATAGAGTCCTCTAGACATAAACTATTTATCAATCAATTAAATTATTCATCTTCACATAAAAAAAAAAAAAAAAAAAAAATATTTGTTTTTGAATATAACATGTGAATCATACCCTATTTGCATTTATCATCTCCTGTCAAACTAAGAAATTTAATATATTATCTCATAATATATTATATTATACAATCATACCCTATTTCCGTTTATAAATGTTTTAAAATTGTCAAAAAATGAAAAACATATGTTGAGTTTTCTAGAATTTAGGAGAATGTATTAAATTATTTTGTAAACTAAAGTCTTGATATGAGTAAATTATTTTTAGAAATTTAAAAAATTTACTATATTTAGTAAAGCACTAAAACATGTGATAAGCATTTTTAATGATATATTTAGTCACATCAAAATTTTAATAAAAAATTTAAAAAGCATATCATCATGCATGACACTAGATTAATTATTTAATCAACTACGTAATTGAATAAACTAAATTATTTATTTTCATGATGTTGAAGAATCGCCGAAAAATGAAAGCAATTGATTTTGACAAACAGCACATGGAGAACACTCGGTTTAAATTATTAATTCCACGTGAATCCAATTCTTTATGCCATACAGCGACATATGTTTATTTATAATTAATTTCTTTTTTTTTTCTGTTCAAATTTTATAATGATTTATTTTTTGTTTAGAATAATTCTTTGTTTTTGGAAAAAAAAAGATGTATTTTTTTTTTAAATAACTATAAAATTGGTAATCTTGCATATATATATATATATATATATATAAATGTATATAATAATCGAATTTAATTGACAACAATAGGGTAACATTATCTAGATTATAATTTAAAAGAATTTTTTTTTTTTTTTAACTAACCCTCAAGTCCATTTAAGTAAGTCACAATAATAAAGATCGGCTTATAACCCAATTTTATAAATTTTTTCTCACAATTCTGACTTAACAGCTTATAATTGGTTAGCTCATAACTGGGTAGGTATGACCTATTGCAAATAAGCAGGATCCATTTACGAATTGACCAATTACGAGTTATCACATCGAAGTTATGATAGAAAGTTTGTGAGATTGAGTTGTAAGTTAAGTGTAATATTGCCCTAGTTACAAATATGGTAGATAGTCACTTGATCCCAATATGAACTATGTAAATCGCAAGATAAGGTAAGTCATAAATATGGTATATGACCTTGAAAATTGAACAGATAACCTTTTTGGTAATCTAAAGTTTTGGACTCATATAATAGTAATACTACA